GACTTGAAGAGAAGCCTGGAAGTTTAAACCGTGGGGCTTCTGACCATACTTGAAGTTCAGTCATTGCAATGGTCTTTTCAGCTCCCTTCCCTTACTGGCTCCAATTGTAAATAAAATCCAGTTGTCTGATCTGACCAATTCCATCAAGTAACAGGCTTGTTCACATGCACCAGGACAAGCACATCTCCAGCTGCTCTGCCAGCTCCAGATCTGGAGTACCCAACCTTTGCAGCACTAAACTTTCTGTCCTCAGGCCAAAGCTTCAAAAACAGATGCCGGCTGGAACTAACAAAAGATGAGTGAATCATTTTTGAATAGTGACTCATCCAAAAAAAACACAGCCTCTTTTCATGCAATATACAGGGATAGCTATTGCTTTATAATATAATCGTAGTTGGGATTTTTCTAAAAGTCGTATTACATTATTCTCACAAGAACAGCAGATAGAATTGTGTGATTTCTTCTTCCAAAGGGTTTTGTTTACTAGTGAAACCTCACATGGAACATGAGCATGGAGTTTTACTCCCAGCAAAAACTAGAAGTGTGAAACAAACAGAAGAATTGGCTGATTTGTAGACATGTTTGCAAGGCTGGATACTTGCTGTGTGCAAATACTCAGGATGTGCTGCTTGCTTCCAGCATCTCCATAAAGCCATGCGGTGGTGTTTCAGCTGGCTGGATGCACAAAGATGGCACAACCAGGTACACGTGTGATTTTATAATCTGCTTTGTTCAAACATTTGTGATAGTAAAGTTTAAATCAAGTAATTGTGGACCCCAAACACACCCAAAGAATAACGTGAATGATGGGCCAAGACAGTTTTGTACTGAATTGGGTGCACACTCCTGAGACACTGTAACTTTAATGCATTAGTCGCTCTGCGATAAGTGGAAAAATTAACAAAACATTCAAGAATTCAATGATGCCATGATAAGAAATTCTGTAGCAAAATTAATCCTAAATGTGAGGAAATGTTAGGCATACAATCTCTTAAACGCTTTCAGGGAAAGAATTAAGAGTGTCATACTGGCAAGATGGTTCTTTCTTCTTTCAGATACTGAAACTCCTGGAAGTTGAAGTCAAACTCATCATCATAAGCAAGCAGCTTCTGTTCCTCGCCATTGTGGAAGTGGCGCATCCTGATAGCTCTGCCAGCAAGATGAGCATGAAGAAGTACTGCAAACACATGAATCCCAGCAGGTCTCTCAGCACCCAGAGCCTGGTTAGGGGAAACCAACACCATCAGTGTGCTCAGATTCAATGTAATGTAACATAATGCAATGTACAAAAAGTGAAAATATATTAATAAATGCATTCTACATTCCCTCAGTTTACAGCAAAATGCAGTCTGGAGCAAAAATAAATCTGTATGTGAAATTAAGGTTCCATATAGAAAAAAGGCTATTTTTTTTTTTCTGTGTTTTTATTTTTTTAAACGAAAATGTGTTTTTACTCCTAATGCACACAGTTTTTATGGAAATAACTGAACTGCTGACAATCCTCAATGGATTTAAGACTTTCAAGGGTATTATACTAAAACCTGCAAATTAATTTACTGCTAATGGCTGATACTGATGAATATGGAAGTTAATTGTAAAAAAGAAATCCTATGCAGTTATGAATGATGTTATCAATATCATACCAAGAGAATCACTTTATATTAAGCGAATGTAATTATAATATGTTCTACTTCTCATCTTCAAGTCAATTGGTAGTGAAATACTGTAGGTTTACATCTGAAACTTTTTCCAGGTCAAAAACATTTTAAAATGAAAAAATTTTAAATGAACTTTTTAAAATGAACTTTTTCAAATTGACACAAATATGACATCACTCCCATTCTAGCTGAGATCTACAAATCTGAACTTTTAGTATGTTCAACTTTGATTGTTGTTCAGAGCCCAACCTAAAAATAATCTGTTATCGCAATACCTTTCAAGTACAGCCTGAAGGTCAGAAACCTCACAATAATAGATTACTCAAGTGTTTTTAGTCCGAAAGACACTGTGACAATATGCAACATTTGACACAACCAAGAACAAATCTAAATTCCATATCTAATTTGCCCTTCACTCCAAACCACAGCATAACAAGTATTGATTCAACCTTTCTCTATAAATAACAAAGTATATAGAATCATAGAATCGTAGTGGTTGGAAAAGACCTTTAAGATTATTGAGTCCAACCATTAACCTAACAGTATCAATCCCATCTCTAAACCATGTCCCTAAGCACCTCATCTACCCATCTTTTAAATACCTCCAGGGATATACTCCACTAATTCCCTGGGCAGCCTGTTTCAATGTTTGATTACCCTTTCTGTGAAGAAATTTTTCCTAATATCTAACCTAAACCACCCCTGGTGCAACTTGCAGCCACTTCCTTTCATTCTGTCACCTGTTACCCGGGAGAAGAGACCAAAAACCCCTCACTACACCCTCCTTTCAGGTAGCTGTAGAGAGCTGTAAGGTTTCCCCTCAGCCTCCTCTTCTCCAGACTAAACAACCCCAGTTCCCTCAGCCGCTCCTCATAAGACTTGTTCTCCAAGCCCTTCACCAGCTTTGTTGCCCTTCTTTGGACGTGTTCCAGAGTCTCAATGTCCCTCTTGTACTGGGGGGACCCAGAACTGAGGTGTGGCCTCACCAGTGCCGAATACAAGGGGACAATCACTTCCCAACTCCTACTGGCCACACTATTTCTGATACAGGCCAGGATGCCGTTGGCCTTCTTGGCCTCCTGGGCACACTGCTGGCTCATGTTCTTTTCCGCAGGGCAGCTTTCCAGCTGCTCCTCCCCAAGCCTGTAGCATTGCATGAGGTTGTTGTGACCCGAGCGCAGGACCCGGAACTTGGCCTATTGAACTTCATACCACTGGCCTCAGCCCATCAATCCAGCCTGTCCAGGTCCCTCTGCAGAGCTTTCCTACCCTCTAGCAGATCAACACTGCCGCCCAATTTGGTGTCATCTGCGAATTTACTGAGGGTGCACTCAATGCCCTCATCCAGATCATTGATAAAGATATTAAACAGAACTGGACCCAACACTGATCCCTGGGGAACACCACTCATGACTGGGCACCAACTGGACTTAACTCCATTCACCACAACTCTCTGGGCCTGGCCATTCAGCCAGTTCTTTACTCAGTGACAAGTATGCTCATCCAAGCCATAAGCAGGCAATTTCTCCAGGAGAATGCTGTGGGAAACAGTGTCAAAGGCTTTACTGAAGTCTAAGTACACCACAACCACAGGCCTTCCCTCATCCACTAAGCGCGTCACCCTGTCATAGAAAGAGATCAAATATGAGAATCTCCTGTGATACATTAATCACAGATTTTAGACAATGCTTCCATTTTCTGTAGAGATATTTAAATTATCTTAATTAAACCAAGTGTTTAATGAATGCATAATTTGGTACTTTAGGCCATACAACAAAATCTGTTCAAGTCTTTAGTTTCTGTGGTTGGTGTAAGAATACCTTTCAGGTTTCTGCTTCACTATTAGGAGTCTTTTGCACATGCACAGGTCTTAATTAGTCTCTCCCAACATTTTTTCTGGGCTAGCTATTCCAGGCTTTTAATAGCTTTGCCATAGAAAACAATGTATGCTTATATATTGAACACCCGATTAAATAATTGCAAGCACTGTGTCATCCAGTATTACTCATATCAATAAAGCAGCCTGAATATTGAGTACCCCAAATACCCAGATCAAAAAGACTCAACATTCTGGAGGGCAGCATGTAGCAGATGCCTTTGCTCACATGTCTTTAACCAGTAACTATCAATCTTCCCAAGAAGTTAAAGAGGCTGTCCGATACTATTTCTAAGAATGAAAACCAATGCATTCAGGCAGGAGACATACCTCTTCCAGACATTCCAGCGTGCAGTGACCCTCGGACACAAATTCAGGCATGCCCGGTGGGATATTGTGGAAGAGGCTGACCCAGAGACCAGCTTCAATAACACCAGCATCGTATTTCCTTATAACTGGAGTGTAAATTAACCTTAGACCAGAGTTATCTATCAAGCCTGCAACAAAAGAACACAGTCAGCCATGTCTGTAAATCAGTACTTAAAAAAAAATCCAATTGTTTCACATTTTTCAAGGTTTGTCCTAAGTTTTTTACATTAAAATCAAGGAATCAATCTCAATAACCTGGAAATGAGTCAAACCATATGCAGGAAGTAATAAACTGGGGCAGCCCACAAAAGGGTTGTTAAATAAGGTGGTGCTCAGATGTGAATGAAAAATACGTGCTGCCTGTAGCCCCTGTGTCCCTTCCACTAAGTTATCCAACATGGACCTAAGAGAAAAGAAGGTAGATCACAGGCAGAGCAAATAATACAAGGAAATAATAACTCCAAAGGTGCCGTGTATGATTTTGAAATGAAATATTTAAAGCAGAGCTTAAAGATGTTGTGGGGTTTTTTTCTTTAAATTTTTCAAGCCATGTGTTGTCTTCTTGTGATTTTATCTATTCCTTCACCTTGAGCTCTAGCATTAATTTTTTGTTTGGTTTGGATTGCTTCTCACATTACAGCATACCTCAGATAACCAAATACATCCCTCATGCAATCTTTCCAATTAAAAGAGCATCAACTAAACATAAGAAAATTGGTTTCCTAAATCCCAAATTTTGAGATAATATCAGCACCTTGAATAAAGCAGGCAAGAGAACTACATAGGATTTTAATGCTTTGCTCACTCAAAGACTTCTCTTGATTTCAAAAAGTGGTTTAAGGAACCAAAGCCTGATGTAAATGAGTTGTGGTTTTTAAAAGTAAAAATTATATTAATCTATTTCATTCTTCTAAATGTTTAGCCATATGCATTTGTTTCTGTATCTACTTAGAATCTATCACCTAACTGCTTTTAATTATTTCTCTTACATTAGCCATTTTTATTAAGAAAGATAAAATCAAAAATCAAAGATTAATTTGTGCTGCATAAGCCCTACATTCTGTTAACTCATCTCTTACAAGAATGTTTGTTGTCCCTTTTCAGATTTCACTTTTGAAAACTAAAAATGAAAAAACCTACCAAGTGTCTTAGAGAAGGCAAGAGGCTTTCTAGTGATCTATATTGGTCTTCTAAAAAACATAACAGACATAGCAGTGCCTGAAACCAAATTTTACATTGACATGAAATCAGCAGGCTATTTTAAGATAGGCAAATGACAGAGGGGCAGAGCAGGGACTAAGTTACCCAGTCACTAAAATACCTAAGAGAGAGTAGCATATACAGTTCACAGCTAGACTCCATGACCTTAAAGGTCTTTTCCAACCAAAATGATTCTATAATTATTAAGGAACAAAGGATATGAACTATGCGTAGGCAATTAAGAGTGGTAATCAACTCAGAGACATTCTACAATATACAAATCATGACATTTCAGGTGATATCATGTCCCACAACATCCCAATTTTCATGTGTTTAGGAATCAATACTCATTCCCTTTATGAAGCTATTGGTACAATCTCATCAACTTGAATTTTTCCTTTGTGGTATTTCCTCTTCAAGCTTGTTACTAACATCTAAATGTCAGATATGTCTATGGAAAATGTAGATCCTGAAGTGGGAAAGTGACCTGGTAGCATGTTTGGTGCTGTCAGGAGGACTCGTGTGCCTCCACCTGAAGCAGATGGAGCACCCAGGTCAACTCCCTCATATTCCTGGCACAACTTTATACCATGTGGTTTGTCAGGGAGGAGAGAAACATGACCTGGATTACAGACTCCCTGCTCTGCCTATGCTGTCTGAATTTTCCCAGGTCTTTGGTGAGACCTTGTGTTCACCTGGGACTGTCCTAACAAGACAAAATTGTCCCTGTTCCTCTAAAAAGGAAATGAAACATGAATGATTTCCACTTTTTGTATGTGCCACTTGGACTAAACCAATGGTATCATACAGCACAGTTGATTAAAATAAAATAGTAAATTTTGGGACACAACCGATTCGGAAACAGTTTTTCTGCATACCATTTCTCAGGCTTTCAGGTAACATTTGATGGAAAAGCATGTAACATCAAAGATGCAAATTAACTTTACTGTATCCCATGCAAATATGCATGCTGAAAGGCAAGAGTCTGTCATTAAATAAAACAATTTTGAGACAGTTCATCTAGAACAACACAAAGAGGGAGAATAACAGTAAGACAGAACACCATAACCCACACAGAGGATTTTATTTAAATACATGGGGATGTAAAGAAAGTCCAGTACACTGTGCTGCACTAGATTTTACTCAGTTCATATGCAGCAATCACCAGGATATTCTCAGGTACAGCAGCTCAATAAACTTTTGTTTCAGAACAAAAAAGTATCTTTCAAAAAGTCAGCTTCAAAGTTCCCTAGATTTTCTGGGGCTCCCTAGTTTCTTCCTTTTGCTTCTTCTAAATATAAATCAATTTTAAAAAGAAGATTAAAAAACACCATTATAAATGAAAAGTTTATCTTTTAAGATAAACTGCTTTTACCCCGTTAATGGTCTATCAATCTTAGTCTATATTTCACCTTCAGAAACAGTTCCAGTAGATGTCTTTAGTCTTTAAAAATGCTTACAAAAATCAATAAAACACTCATTCCTTGTGTTGCTGTCTCAGTCTGGGTGCTCTGCTGCTCTCTCAGTCTGATCAGATTTCCCAGCAAAAGAAGAGAGAGATAACATGAAGAATGCAGTGATAAAAGGAGACGTATTCACCTGGTCCACAGTTCTTTGTATATCTGAATCTCCCACTGACTCCAGGTTAAGCTTCTGAGTCCAGTGAGAAAAACACTGGGAACCAGGAACTACTGAGCAGGGAAAAATAAGCCTCAGCTTTATATTTGCTCTGTTTGCCATCCAATGGAATGAGAAGCTCTTATGTCTAGTACATTTTCCAGTCTTGCATGTTTTAAAGAGAGTGAAGGTACAAACCTTCTGTGTATGATGGATTGTCATAATGCACCTCCATAAGAACGAACTGAGGGTCAGCTGGTGTGCCAATGGATAAGCCAACGTGAGGAGGGTAGGTGAAGCCCTGGAAATCAATACATGCATGCAGAGTTAAGGTATTTTTGCCATGGTTAAGAGTTAATTTCTTTTTATAAATACAGCTATTTTTTTCCCCTGCAATTATACAATCATATTAATGATAAAATTTACAAAGGTAACATTTTTAATCTTTCTGAATGTGGCATTGTGGCATAATATATCTATTATATACTAAATGCACTAAATAACTATAACTATTTATATA